CTAACCCTAATTAGTATACTATTTTTATGTATTATAATCACAAGTATGAACGGGTCCATACATGACTCACCAACAGTCTAGAGAACTAATAATTGAACTATGAACCACTAACTTTTTTCAACTCAATGTCGAGCCCAATTAAAAATAAATAGATATGGTTATTACTTATTAAAAAGTTGTCATTTTTCACTATGGGATTTGATATGCTTAGATATCTAGCTAAACATTCCATGTATATTTGTTGAAAATTCTAGCCAGGGTGAAAAAGAAATACTCTACAAACTTCCATCTACAAACTTTCAAACTCATATATACGTCACTCATACCCTAGCTATAATCAATGGATCTACTTGGGTTTAGCTAAATATCATTTACTAGCCAAAATTTTCAAAAAAAAATTAAATTGGATATTGACCGCCATATATCTCTTCTCAGTCAATATTAATGACAACATCGCTAACGAAAAATTAATTTTAGACTAACAATACTAACAAAACACCATAACGGGCCACATAATACATACCCATAGGTCATCTCCGCCCCGCGACAAGGCACGACATCGCAACCTAGTTTTTTTTAATTTTTTTTAAAAATAAACACTATTATATTATGCAAATAAAAATTCCTAACAATTATTATGTAAGCAAGAAGATGGATAGTTGATGATAGTTGAAACAAGAAGATACAATACAAAATTGATTCTCGAAAAAAGTGAAAACTAAATTGAAAATTAGTCTATCTACTAGATTCACCTTAATAAAAAGATGAGGACGAATTCTAGAAAAGTAAAAGGGAGGAACAATATGAGATGAGTAGAAATAATTGTTTGGATTTCAAATATTTAATTTTCAAATGAAAGTATCTTCTATAACAAAGCTGATTATCAAATTTTTTTTTTTTTTTGTCGTTGGATAAGATTACAACGGGCGATTATTAACGAGAAAGGGAAATCCATATTTATTGATGGGTTAAGGGGCCTAGTCTATTAGATCTTTTATTTTACCATTGATGCTGAAAATTCTCTTAGTAATTAAACCCTAATACACAGTGCTAGTTTAGTAATTAATCTTAATGACCGGTTAATTACTAAACACACATATACTAACTTCAACAGCTCGCTCGTGGTCTGATATCAAATGAAGAATTTGAGTTCATTAAAAGCATATCGGATGTGCTTGGCAGAATGCATATGATTCAACGAAAAAAAAGAAATTTGTTCATTTAAATAAATGGAGTAATTAAGATTAGACGAGATATTTTTTTTTTACAAAAGATAATCCATTATATGACGAAGATCAAACGATAGTTACATCCTGGAAATCAGTCAGGCCTGGAAATCAAAGAATCAATACTTAGTCAGGTACAAACTAAGGGCCTTTCGAGCCACCAAATGGGCTACCCTATTGCTACTCCGTTCTACAAATCGAACATTAAGCACAATATAAGTTGAAAACACCCGGATGAGTTCCGCCAACACCAGCCCAACCCGACTATCTCTAGCATCTCGCCGATTGATTTTATCGATTAAAACCTTAGCGTCACCCTGGAAACAAGTCGCCATCAATCCCAATTCCAGACACCAACACACTGCCTCCTGAAGAACCAACATTTCCGCCACCAAAGGGTAATCAGAATCAGGGAACTGCAAGCCACGAGCCATAAGGACATTTCATGCGAGGTCCTTTATCACAATTCCGCCAGCCGAATGAGATCCAACCCGCGTCGCCCCATCCTACATGCAAATAATGGAATGCGACGTACTGACAGGCCCAGCTGAACTGACTACTACGTCAGTACTCAGACCTTTGTCGACCGGAAGAGCGACCCATTCATGATACTGCTGATGAAATTGTCGCATAAGCGCAGGGATCCCAAACTGCTTGCCTTAAAAAACAAATGGGACTGGTCTATTAGGGACATCAGTTTCTTCGGGAAAAGAGGGAAACTATGACGAGGCACCCCTTGACCAAGATACTCAAGGCCTGATAGATCCCAAAGAGCACGAGCTACTAGGCATTCGATGAATAAATGTTCCATCGTCTCTTTTTCCGCCTAGCACACCGGACACCTTGGCAGCACCTGAACACCCTTCTCAATCAAAGCTTCAGTCGTTGGAAGAATGCGAAGCAACACTTGCCACATAAACACCTTCAGTTTAGGTTGTATATTGGCGTTCCATAAGCAAATCCAACTCGGTTTGTCCATCCAGCAAGCACTCGACCTCCAACGGCCACCCTGTTTATCAAGCAAGACCACTAAATGATAGGGCGACTTAACTGTAAAAATCCCATCCGTTGTCTCATGCCAAATTAATCTATACTCGATATCCGCACAAGGAAGAGGAATAACTTTAACGACTTTGCTACGGTGACATGCATGTCACAGTGACATGCACTTTTCGGTCGACCTCATATAGGATTAGGTCGACCTAATCTGCTGTTTCAGTGTAAAAGCAGTTCCATGGTGCCTACTTTGAAGATTCATATCTTACAATTGCCTATATGGAAATTGGAGATCAATGGCTTGTTTTGAAGCTGAAGTGTCCCTCTACACATTAAAGTACTTGGGAGCTCAATAGAAATTCTAGAAGACCATTTTTGAACATGATCAAAAGGCTATGCCAAAACTGGAAAACTGCCTGAAAATGGCTAAGTCTGGGAACGTGTTTGTGAAGCCTACTCTGGAGCCCAATTTGAGAAGCATGGATGCGAGTCAAGTCCAAAGGCCTCTACCACGTTAAATTAAGTATTTTTTTCTACAAAGGCAAGGAATTGGATGAAATATTGAATATCTTTAAGGCTTCAAACAAAAGGCTCAAAGTTGCTACGAAGGCTGTTTTTCTGGCAGCTTGCTTGTGCTCGAAGTCTGCCAGAAAAACAGCCTTCGTAGAAACTTCGACCCTTTTGTTTGAAGCCTTACATATATCCAATCTTTCATCCAATGCTTTGAATTTGTATACAAACATACCTAATTTAACGGGGTAGAGGCTCCTAGACTCGACTCGCATTCATGCTTCTCGAATTGAGCTCCAAAATAGGATTCACAAACACGTTTTCAGACTTAGCCATTTCCAGGCAGTTTCCCAGTTTTGGCATAGCCTTTTGATGAGGTTCAAAAATAGTCTTCTGGACTTCCTATCGAGCTCTCAATCACTTCAATATGTAGAGGGATACTCCAGCTTCAAAACAAGCTATTAGTCTTCAATTTCCATCTAGCCAATTGTATGATACGAATCTCCAAAGTAAACACCATGAACTGTTTTAACACTGAAACAACAGATTAGGTCGACCTGATCCTATATGAGGTCGACCGAATCCTAAATGAGGTCGACCTGATCCTATATGAGGTCGACCGAATCCTAAATGAGGTCGACCTAATCCTAAATGAGGTCGACCGGAAATTGCAAGTCACGGTGACATGCATGTCACCGTAGGCGCACCCTAACTTTAATAGCCCGACATGTAGCTGGATCAAACCAACGATTGAGTTGCTCATTACTCTATTTGCCCTCGCCTTAGCAGATCACAAAATCCACCTTAGGATCTCCCCCTCCCGGAAGGACCTGCTGATTAAAGGTCGGAGCCTTAGGGTGGAGAAGCGGGACCCAACTATCTGAGAGGAGAGAGGCAGTCCGACCATTCCCAATTTGCCATCGTAAGCCTTGGGTTCGCAATTGACGACCATAAAGGATGCTCTGCCACCCCCAAGAAGGGCGAGACCTGGCTGAACCTGTTAGGAAATCCCCACGCAGGAAATATTTCCCTATATAGATTTGCGCTAGAAGTGAATGAGGTTCTGTCAAAATTTGCCACCCAATTTTGGCCAACAAAACCTGTGGAAACCCATACCACCATCATGCTTACTAGTACACATTTTACGCCAGGACACCCATCTAATTCTTGATCAAACCCCTTCAACACCAAACCAGAGTCGAGCAACATGTCTATCCAAGAGCCGACAAAGGGACAGAGGCAACTTAAAGGAGGACATCACATGTAGAGGTAAGGCGAGAGCGACCGATTTGATCAAAGTCTCCTTAGCCGCCCAAGACACGGCCCTTTGTTTCCTCCCCTGAAGTCGGCTTAGCAACTTCTCCTCAAGGAACCGAAATGACGCCATTTTCGAACGCGCAATCAATGCAACCCCAGATATTTGTCTTGGACCCCCACCGCTCCAACCCCCAAGATTGCAGCAAGGAATTCCTGATCAAGCAGTGGAACATTCTTGCTAAAACAGACCAATGATTTCTCCAGGTTAAACCGTTGGCCGCTGAGTTCCTCATAGGTGTTGAGAACCTCAATCAAGTTCTCACATTCTTGGAGAGAGCCTATAAGAAACAAGTAAGAATCATCCGCAAAGAACAAATATGAAATCCTATGCGCCCTGGAAGCCACCTTCACTCCTTCCAGCTTACCCAGAGCAATAGCCTGACGGATGAGGGCCGCAAAACCCTCCGTGCAGAGTACAAAAAGCAGTGGGGAAAGAGGGTCCCCCTATCTTAGTCCACGGGACGGGGCAAAGAAGCCAGAGGGTATACCATTCATAGGAACGGAGAAGGAGGATGAATCTGAGGCATTCATGAACCCATTCACACCAGATCGAGTGAAAACCTAATTTTTTCAAAATCGCAAGGAGAAAGGCCATTCGACTCTGTCATGGCCTTTTCCATGCCAACTTTTAGAGCCATGTACCCTTTCTTGCCTCGCTTTTTGATTTTCAAAAAATACATTAACTCTTGGCCTATTAGAATGTTCTTCACAATGTGCCTTTCCCGGAAAAAAGTATTTTGTCCATTGGAGATAACTTGAGGTAAAATAGATGAGATATTCTTAACAAGACATTAAAAAAAGATTTTTTTTAAAGAGTATGTAACAAATCATGAGTTCTACTAGCTTGAGTCGTGGGCAAGTAGTTATTTATTTCGGCTATAGAAAAATGGGCATTTTTTCAACTCTTATGGTTGTGTGAGCGTTTAATTTTTTCTTTAACTATTTTTGTAGATCATCAAAAAAAGACACCCCAAATATGAAGTTCTCAAGGAGGAGATAAGGATGATGGTGATAGATGGGGCTGAAAGCGGAGATGATGAGGAAGCAGTAATTGCCGATAAGTTGCGGTTAATTGATAATGTTCAACGTTTAGGCATTGGGTATCATTTTGAAGCAGAAATTGAAGAAGCACTTGAAAAAGTGCATGTTTTTGGAGATGACTTATTCATCAATATTGATGACAACAATACTACTGATCTCTACCATGCAACTCTTCGGTTTCGGCTCCTCAGACAACAAGGCTTTCCGGTTTCATTAGGTAAAAGTATATATATAATCCGAATAAGTTTTAAAGGTTTAATTAAATAATTAATTATTGATAGCTAGGTAATAATGGCCTTTCTCATGTATATAACTATACATGGAAAATCAATGTAGATGGGTTTAGGAAGTTGAAGGACAGTGAAGGAAGGTTCAAGGAACATTTGGCATCAAATGAGCAAGGGTTGTTGAGCTTGTACGAGGCAACTCACTTGGCGCTCAATGGGGAAATCATATTGGATGAAATCTTAACATTTACGACCAAGACCCTGAAATCGATCCTATCACAAAATACCATCAACCATTCATTTCAAAAGCAAATTGATTTTGCCCTTCGCTTTCCTGTTTGGAAATGCATCCCAAGGTTGCTTACTAGGCATTACATCGATTTCTACTTGGACGACCCTTCCCACGATCAGACACTCCTCACATTTGCAAAGTTGGATTTCAACATAGTCCAAAAACTACAACAACAAGAGCTCTATGAAATCACAAGGTGGGTTTGGTTTCGTGTTACGCACTAATATGATTTTATCTTCCGCACTAATAAGCTAAACCAGTGGGTTTGATTTTGTAATGTCTGTCGACATATATAGTTGGTGGAGAAGTCTTGGAGTAGGCACCAACTTTCCATACGCAAGAGACAGAGTTGTGGAGTGTTATTTCGGTATGAATGTTGTTTACTTCGAGCCCAAGTATCGACTCGCAAGGATGATACTCAACAAGATATCTTTAACTTTGTCTCTTATTGACGATACTTACGATAACTATGCTACATATGAAGAGCTTCATATGCTCACAGAAGCTATTGAAAGGTTCTTACCACTTGCATATCATTAATTGACATATTAATTTTATGCAATGCCTAATTTCCCTTCTATATATACACACACATGCTCTTTTTTTCCAGGTTGGATACTAAGGCTCTCAAAGCACTACCTGACTCGATGAAGGATATTTACCGAGTCATCATTAATACGTACGATGAAATCGAGATGGAACTTGAAAAAACTGGATCCGCCTTTGGTGCGGAGTATGCTAAGACAGAGGTAATCTATTAAGTGAGTGGGTGATATCTACTGGTGAATTTGAATCCCACTGCATCAGTCAATTCTATTTGTGAGATGAAAATTTGCTTCTATCTATCTTGACGTTATTACCTTTTCATTATGTCATTCTCTTTTGCCATGGAGTAATTATTAATTACTTTGTTTTTCTATTATCACATTGTCTATGTAGCTAAAACGAATGTGTCGATCCTACTTCGTTGAGGCACGATGGCGTACTGAAGGATACGTTCCAACAGTGGAGGAGTATAAGACAGACGGATATATCACTGGCAGTTCTCTCAGTGTTCCCACATCTGCTTTACTCGGGATGGGAGCAGAAATAGCAACAAGAGAGGCTTTTGAATGGCTTACTAACGAACCTATGGTGGTAAGAGCTCTCGGTGCTATTACTAGGCTTCAAAATGACATTGTCTCTCACGAGGTAACCATGAAAGATTTATGTAGTTCATCTAGATTTGTTGCAAGGGAAAAATAAATAAGCATTACATCGTATTGTGAATTTTGTGTTGTGTGTTCATTCTTAGTTGGAACGAAAGAGAGAGCATGTGGCTTCAGCAGTGGACTGCTATATGAAGGAACATGCATCGTCAGAGGAGGAAGCAATCGAATTCTTTTGGAAGGAGATTTCTAGAGGTTGGAAAGACATTACTGCAAAGTTTGCCAAACCAACCCCGGTCCATGTAGCTCTGATAGAACGTCTTCTCAACTACGCACGTTTTTTTCATGTGTTATACGAGAAGGGTGATGGCTACACGAACGCTCGCCTTTTAAAAGCACACATTGTTTCATTGTTCGTTGATGCCGTGCCTCTTTGAAACAAAGTTAATAACAAACGATTCCATGTAAACGGATAAAAAAAAATCCTTGGTTACTTTTCAGATCTCTTTTGGTTTCCTATGGTGTTTGACTCGGTTGTGTTTGGGTTGGTTGTGACTTTGTTCATTCGTAACATTGCATTTTGTTCTTCCCTTTTATATATGGTTGTTGCTATTGAAACCGTTTCCTTCTTTCTTTTAATAAAGACTAGCTATTTGTTGCTGCCTGATGCCCAACATACCAGTACTACCGTCTTTTACTTTTCCCAGTAGGTTCCACAAAATATAATGACATCTATGTAAATAGATGTTAATCTATTTGGTTTAATGAGCACTTTGGACAGGTGTCTTCACCACAATCCTTTAAAAAAACTTCCTTTTATTAAGTAGTACAACTAGCTTTTTTCCGGGAACGGATGAGATCAGTAACTCTTATGGTGAGTGACCGTCAGTAACCTGTCCACATCCGCATGACATCAACATCTCCTCTCTCCTGGAAAGTCTTTTATCTTTTCCCCTTTAATCTTTAACGAACGATTTCTCTCTCGTTTTAAGTCGAAATTTAATTTTTTTTGCACAGATTAATCAGATTAAATGTGCTCTTCAAATTTTTTTACCAGTCATTACCATATGGTATGCTCATATTCAATATCATATGGTAAGAAAGCGTACCATGATGGTATGAACATACCAATGTGGTAAGAAGGTTGAATACATGATAGTAGGAGTATACTAACTGTCATTTACGACTTTCATCATTGTTTACCACAAGTTACCACCCACATACCATAGTGGTAAAGTATGGTAATTTTTGGTTCAGTATTTTTTTCACCCAGAAATTTGTAGATCCAATAGATCATGATGAACTCGTTCCTTCTGAGCAAACGTTTTAAAAAACGACTTAAAAACGAAGAAGTTACCATATGGTATGTAGTTGGTAAAAAAAAAATATTTATCGAAATATGTTGAAAATTGATCTCATTTTGTAGAACACAACGAACTCGTTCCATGTGTGCAAAAAAATTTGAAATCCGAGTTAAAATGAAGAAGATATGAGCCGATTATGAAAACTAGGGAAAATAAAATGTCTTTAATTGACAACCCTTAGATCTGGATTTTCTGGGCCCACTTAGATTTAAAGGTCCAGATTTAGTTAGTCATAGGTTAGTAACCAATGGTTACTCACCCTATCCTAAGCCGTTTTTTCCCTCGCGAAAGCAGCGGTTATTAACTTTCTTTACTTTTGTTAATAAAGTTTTATCCACTCATTTTTTTACATAGTGTCTTAATTATTACGGAATGTTTATGTAACTCATTTTGTTTAATTTAAATATAAGAAATAACCCGGTGAGGAATGAAAAGTACCGATATAGATTTCTAAAACAAAAAAATATATGGTGAAATTAGGCGTTTGAGATGGAAAATTTAAAAAATACATAAACAACTAACCGTGGAAAAAAGTATACTATCTTAAAATTAGGTGTAGAGTGTAAAAAAATCCAGTAAACAACTGATGGTGAAAAAAAAGGTTGTGACAAAATTGGTTGTAGAATATAAATAAATATAATGAACAATACTCGTTACAAAAAAGGGGACACAAATTTAATAATATGCCTATTTTTTAGTAAGGAATAGTGATTTGAACTTGTGCATTTATATACTGGGATGATTGTCTATAGGTAAATAATTTTATGGTGAGTTGTGCGTAGGAGATAGAAAAAACATTACATAAACAATTGACATTGTGGAAGAAAAGCTTATGTGGGTCGTTTGGGTGAGTTGTTGTTTAACGAGTTAATATAGAAGTGGAATTCCTCATAAAATGAGAATGTGGTATTTGTGAGTTACTTCACAATAACTACCCTCTATGAGTTATTTCAAATTAACTCAAGTACAAATAACTCACCATCAACTTTTGTAGACAAACAGGTTATTTGCACCCAAATGAGTTATTTGGGTGCAAATAACTCATACGAATAACTCATTAAACGAACCCATGGTGAAATCGGCTGTAAAGTACAAAAAACCGATGAAGAATGAAAAGTGCCGATATAGCTTTCTAAAAGTAAAAAGCATTATGGTAAAATTGGGTGCAAATAAACAAATAAACAACTGATTGTGGAAAAAAAGTGTCTTCCAATCCAGACCTTCTCCATTTCATCAATGACCTACTTGGTCGCTCCAGCCAGGCTGGTAGAACTACTACTTCCCATATATTCCGCTCTCGGACTCGAGCTGCCGATTTGTATGGTTATTTTGATGCCACAGCGGTGTTGATGGTTCGATTGGCTTCCCCACTGCTAGTTAGGCACACTCGTGAATTTTGGTGTGGGCCACGGCTGGAATTTACATTTCCAGCAGTCAGGCGACGATCAGTAAGTCGGGTCGCGGAGGAGCGGGTCCCTGCCTCCCGGGGGACCCGGAAATAATTGTAGATTGTAGGGATTTCGAGCAGGTAGCGGCGGTTGTGGAAGGTAGGAGGGTTTCGATTGGAGGTAGCATTTTTTTCTAGCCGAGTCAAATAGAAGGGTTGGATTGGGGTGGGGTGGTCTATCTATTGTGGCAGGTCAGGTTTTTAATTTTTTTTATAGGTTAAAAGGAGCTGATTAGATACTTCTGTTAGGCACATCAACAAAAAATTCACGTTGTTATCAGGGATCGTTGAACAAATTTCAGTGACCACGATTGGAATAAAATATTTATAGTGACAAACATGAAATTTTTTAGTAATTTGAGTGACCAAACTTGTAATTTACCCGAACAGAAATGAACAATTGCATCTCATGAACATCTATTCAAGGTGTAGTTGTAGTCATACACGATTAAATTGTATAACTGTAGTTATGCATTATCTTTAACATTATATGAAGGATATTAACACAATCTGTTATACACTTCGCATTACCATCAAAAATTAATTTAATAACAAAAGACCAAAAAAGGAAACGGCAACAACTGTAATGTTTCTCATTAAAAATGTAGAGGTTCGAATTTTCTCATTGCGGAATGCAACTTTGTTCTCTCATAGACATTATAATAAACGAGGTTTCATAAAAATAGACATTATAACAAAAAAAATACATAACTTAGCTAGATAAGCGTGAAATATTGATGTATTTTGATTTAAAAATAAAATGTTAATATTTAAAATTGACTGAAGATGATAGATTGTGCAAATCCAACTAATTTAGCCTTGTTGAATGACTTTGTGGAATGATGGTGGCTTGGGCAAAGTTGAAGTACGGATATTTGCGAAGATGTGGTGAGCTTGGTTAATCAAATCATTCCCAAACCAACACATGCAATTCCAACTGACCGAGTGAGAAGAGTCGCGAGCGGGTTGAGGGAAGGAGCGACACCCGGCCAGAAGAGGGCAAATCCCCAACTGGGATCGAGAGGGGCAACTGGTGATTATAGGCAGAAGGGCCCCGGTCGGTTGAGGGTTAACCTCCCGATCGCGATCTGAAGAGGGTCCGACAGGGGATCGGGCTGGCGGATGCAATCTCCTTTTCCTGGTTTGTTTTTTGTTATTTTATTTTTGATGGACTATATAAAGAGCTTAAGACAAGAATTTTGAGTTAGTTTTTTTTTGTAAAATATTGATTTTTATCTTGGTTAATTGGGTTTTAACCTTGTGAATTGTTCTCTGTATAAATCAAGTTTTTTCCTTGATTGTGGTTGAGATTATATCTTTTATATTATAGCGAGCAGCAGAAGGTACTACTAGCCACATATGAATTCACAAATTATCCAACTAAATGGTGAGAGTAGGTACAGCTCAAGAGGAGAAGGAATTTGCAGCCGAATGTGACAACTTGGGCTTAATTGAGAGGGCTCATGAAAGAGAGGTTCATGCCAGGGTACTATCAAAGAGAACTCTTTGATTCCTTGCATGGAGTTCGACAAGGAGCACGATCTGTCGAGGAGTATTATCGGGAGCTTGAACTGCTCTTGATGAGGGCAGATGTGAGGAAAGATAAGGAAGCTACAACTTTTCGCTTCATACATGGCCTCAATGTAGAGATTAGGTACGAAGTTGAGCTTCGTTCATTTGTGAAGCTGGAGGAAGTGGTTCACCTAGCTATTAAGGTGGAGAAGCAGTTGAGGTCAACTCGAGAAGAAGGTATCCACCTTCACCCAAACCTGTTGGAGAGAGCATTCCCGAGACTAATATGACTCACCCTAGACAAGAATGTGACAAGTCAGCTGCTAAGGTTCTGATCTTGCGAGATGGCGATTACTTTTCCGAGGAAGAGGAGGAAGAAGAGAATCCAATGGGGGAATGGAATCAATTATGATGATGATGATGTTGTTGATGAGCACATCATCATTGAAATTCCTCCAACTGGTAAGTTTCTTAGAGTCAACCATCGAGTGCTCTCCCTTGATTGTGGTCGAGATTCTATCTTTTATATTGCTAGAGTCTTCTCCTATCTTTGTGATGAGATTGCACTTTCAATTCCATCATATTCCAAAACGAAAACCCTAAATATCCTTGTTCTTTTTCGTTCTTGAAGCTGCGCGACTTTGACAAATATGGGTGTCGATACGTGCTCGTATCATCAACAATGAAGTAGAAGAAAATGTTGTCAAAAATGAAATTTTGATGAACTTACGAACATTATTGACCTAAACAGAGTAAAAAGGACAAATGTCTATAAAGATAGTGGTGTTTGACGGAGGAAAAAAAAGATAGAAAACAAATATTTTTGAACGGAAGTAATTTCAAAGAAATCAAAATATGCAAAAGTTAAGTGATTTTTCTAAAAAATTTTAAAGGGAAAAGATAATTGTTGTGAAGAGTGTCCGGAGCAGTTTAGGCGAATGACTCAAGTTTATGCATAATGCATAACCACTCTTGCATTAATCTTCAGCATTTTATATTTTATTCATTTTAACTTTATTTTTCAAATAAATTGAATTAATTATGATAAAAATTGGCATTGACTTTGATATATTTTGGAACCAATAATACTTTAGTGGAGATGTCATATACAATG